TGGGAGGTTGGGGGGAAGGTTGGGAGGGAGGGAGAAGGGATTGACATGTGAAGCAAGCTTGTTCCTAATTTGAACTAATAAAAAAATACAAAAAAAAAGATGGGTAGCATTGTAAAATGAATACTGAACTCTGAATAAAGGGCTAGTATCAAAAAAAAGAGATGCATTTATTTATTGTAAATACAGTGTTTGACCTGCGTGTGCGCGCACACACACACACACACACAGAGAGAGAAAGAGAGAGGGGGGAGAGAGGGAGGGAGGGAGGGGGAGAGAGAGACAGAGACAGAGACACAGAGAGAGAGAGACAGACAGACAGACAGACAGACACACACACACACACACACACACACCTGTGTATAAATTTAAAGGTAATTACCAGAACCAAATTTTCCTTTGCAGATGACAGCTAGCCCAATAAAATAACCAAATAGAATGTTTAGAGGCATCAAAGCTTACATAAAACATTTACTGGCAAGAACACAATAGGGAGTAGCCTGAGCAGATTAGAACTCCTGAATCATCATGAACAAATCTCCAATGGTGGAACACTCTGATGAAAAATTGATTAGATATATAGTACGACTCCAAGATAGCCAATTAAACAAGTTGTGTGATAGCTCAAGGACAATTTACACTCCTAATAGAGGCAAACATTGATAGAACAGTTAATACATTACTAGAATAAGACCTGAACATTACCAGCATTCAGCTATGATAGTCTTCATTCTTACACAAGTCTGCCTCTCAAAACTTTTGTGATTACATGGATTGTCTGACTTAATCACATAAAAAGGGGGTAGGGGCCCCAGTTACTATCTTCCTTTTACACAAGTTAGCTGAGGTCTAAAAGTGGTAACTGGATGTGCTGATTCTCTCCTCCCCACCCCACACACGACAAAGTCAATGTTAAGATTATTCCAATTACTTACTTCAGAAGCCTCGTGCTCACCTCATTGTGTGGCAACTTCTCCTATATGTAAAAGTTCTTAATGTTCAGAACTATATTCTATGCTATCTATTGAGAATTTTTCAATCTCCCACATGGAAATCAAGCTGAAACAGATAAAGCATTTTAGGGTAAATGCGTATGTTCAGAAAGATGACAAAAGATTTTGTTCCTAAACACCGAAAGGAAATTTCACAGAAATATGAGACTGCAAATATAAAAACTATGAAGACAAAGTTCTTCATTGAATCCCCCAATTAAAAAATCATAATTTACCAGTGCCCTGCTTAGATGATTTAATAGTCTCTCTACATCATGGCAAAACAATCTCTTATGCAAGGCACTAAGGAATTTACCAGAGTGTGAGTGTCTCATTTGCTCACTTAAATTACCAGCATTCATATTATTATCCCCACATGCAAAGCCTGTTGTTGTTCCTTGCCCTCTTACCAGGGTTTATCTCTTGTGGCATCATTTATCTCAACAACAGAGGTCATAATTTGTAGCTCTCAACTCTTCCTTCTAACAGATTACTGTTTGAGAAGTTGATAAATTGCCTGAAATTTTAGGTAAGGCTTGCGTCTACAAGCCATATAACTATAGGATACACAGCAACTCTCACCTGGATATGGTTGCCCCTGGCTCCTGGTTGCAGGATCCCTTCTGGCTGCTCAGCTTACTCTCTCGGGTCCCACCTGGTCAGCCTCTTGTTCTACCCCAAGAAGGCTAGGACCACCAGATACAGAGTGGAAGGAGATCGGGATAGGGCTGCCTCGGGTGCCATGTTCTCACTGTAAACCAAGGAAGGCAGCAGTGGCTTCTGGGGACCAGCTGTGGCTCTGAGCGTTGTGTTCTCTGACAGCCAGGAAAGCAGCAGCTTCTCGGGACCAGCTGTGGCTCTCTCTGCGCCTTGTGTTCTCAGAGAGTCAGGCAGCAGCAGCTCTCAGGACCAGCTGTGGCTCTGCAATGACTCCAGCACAGGTAGCCAGCTGCCAGCTGCCAGCTGCCAGCTGCCAGGCGCCAGGGCTAGACTTTCCTGGCTAAAGCCTCACAGCCAGAGCCCCAGGAAACATGAATTCATTTTTCAAAACACCTACCAAGAAGGTGATTCGGTGCAGGACAGAAGAAACTAAAGGATTCAAGAAAGAAAAGTAACCCTTCCCAGTCACATGGCAATTCTCAGTGTATGTCTTGAGAACATATTTAATATGATCAGATGAAAAGAGTAATATCTCTCTTTAAGAAACAAAGAAAGACATTAATATGAGACAGGCTGCTTAAGCTTTAAATACAGCCCTTGGGCAATGCTTCTCTATACACTAAGTGTGGAACCCCAATTTTCAATGAATGCATGTAAAAATTTATCAAGGTGGGCCTGGGTGTGTAGTTTTAGTGGTACAACAGTACTTATCTGGTATTTGCCAAGCTCTCATTAGATTTCCCAGCAGAAAAACATACACCAATAAACAAAACCAAAAAATACAAAATAAAATTTACCTTCAACCTGAGGCAACAGGGCAGCAACTAGAGAAACTAGCTTCAAATATAGAGCTGAAGTCCTAGAAGCTCACCCCCATACTGTCCCTCTGAACACAGGTATTTTCAGTGCTAATCAGAAAACCATTTCCACTCCATCAGTCCCAAGTCCCCAGGAAATGGTAGAATGGGTAGGCTACCAACCCTGAGAACACCCCTCACTTTTGTGCCCAATTATGTCTCCATTCCTCCCAAGCCCTCACATGTGCAGCTGCTTGCTATCCCAACATTTGAGCTGTCTTGGGACAGTTATTCAATCCTAGTTAAAAACAAGAAGGATCCCAGGAAGAAAACCTAATCCATATGAGACACACCATCACCTTTGCCTTCTCTTAAAGAAGACTTAGATCATCAGGCATAAAGGAGCATTAGACTCTAAGGGGGGTGAGGGTGGGAATGGGGGCGATGCACACAAACAAGGGACTGAATGTTTAGTTTGAATAAAATATACAATTTACAAAATGACAGCAGCTTAAGATTTCTGATATCAAGCTGCAGATCAACAAGCTGCCCAATATAAAACTGATTTCTTATGTTAAATTTTAGAAAACTTGATTAAGCAATAATTTGGGGAGGAAAATTAAGAAAGCCCTGGGATATTAAAAAATAACTGCTTTAAAATGGATTGAAAGACAACAATAAAAAAAAACTACCAAAACATAACAAGTTAAAAAAAAAAGAATGAAGATATGATGCAAAGAACTGAACAGTTGGGAGCCAACAGAAGTTTCAAACAGAACAGCAGGTTCAAGAGGAACTCGATAAGAACATAGACATCAATCCTGGAACACCCTCTCCCAAAACGACATTTTTAAGACACACAAGGTAGTTCCTAGAATTAAAAGGGCTACTCATCACTATAACTTAGAAGAACAGTTCAGGAAAATTTGAACCTCCTAGGCAAAACTATGATTTAAAAATGACAATACTTTGTAAACAAATTGCTCAAATTATCCATATTTAAGGCAAGTTTGTTTATGGGATAGTTTTGAAATTTTTCCATTTGGCCCCAACAATCAAAATCCTTCTCTCCTCAGATACATAAAGAAGTCATAAAACTAGGAATAAACAGTGAAGATTATCAAGACTGTTACTTGGTCCACCTTGTGGACGTTTTATAGGCACACTATAAATACTGGCAAGCAGATAGAAAATGTTAAAAGTGGTTGAATATGGAATGGGGGTGAGGATTTTTAAAAAGGAGAACAGAAGACTACTGCTATTATAAACACTTCTTACAGAATTTTATTTCCCAATCATAGAAAATTTTAAGAAAAATATTTAAACCTATACTTAGAGATGAAAGTTAACTGAACATAGGAAGATTCACAGTTGTAATGTTGGTGGATTTGTATGCTTTCTGCTTCATTTTGACTAAGATGCTATTTATAGTAATTTTACAAATTAAGCAAAATCAGAAACTTTGGAAGCAATCACAATAGCTATGATTGAGTAAATGAAAAATAGAGACAAGCATTTACTATGAATGCTCTTTGCAAATACGTGTTAGAAAAATTAAAAAAAAAACAGATGTTAAAAATAACGCAAACATCTTCATTCATTTCGTCTTTCCCAGAAGTGAGGTTATAAAGTAAATGTTTCATTGAAAAACACTGCCTAAAGATTGGCCTTGTATTAACAACTGCTCAGAACAATTTCAAGTTGGCTCACTGAGATGATCCAGTCTCAGAGCCTACTCTAGCCAGGAATTGAGACAAGCCTTGCACTTTCTCATTAAACAGAGACTGGACAACAACTGATACAGACACCTCTACTAGGACTTGACAATTAATCCCAATTTTTATTTTCGGGACAACCCAAAGATGCCATTGTCCTGAGACAGCAGAAATAAATTTAAGAACCTCACGCCCATAAAAAAATAAAGTAAATGTTTCCAGATTTTCATTAGTTTAAGTGCCCTACTTGAGCTGTCCATGCATGGTGTTGTATTCCTATACTAACACATAACGAGCCATCCACTGATAACCAAGTGGTCAGCTATTATTTTCCTGTCTAGTTTTCATTCTTTTCCATAGGCTCAATACACATTTAGCCAATCTATTCCTTCTTTGTGAGTTTCAAGTCAACTTTAGTTCCTAAATCAAAACATTTTTAAAATTCTGTATTTTGTAGTCTGAACTATTTTAAATGAGTATACAGGGTACTGGTATCTTCATGGCATTTCTGAAAGTTAACCTGGAATTATTTTTTTAATATGGCATGGGGTAGGTAAATTCAAGATACATAATGACTGAAAATTACAGGGTTCTTTCTGTTACCAACTTTAAAATATGAATAAAAAATGATAAAACCTAAGCACTGTATTTGATAAGTGGATTAGATTCTAAGACTGATTTTCATTACTACATCTTGGTATTAATGGATGCTACACATTAATATTTGATTTGTTTAAAACTTCTTGCTCACCGCATTGTTTCAAGAAACACATTTTCCAAACATGAGAGCCAGAAACTGTAATATGCCACAAGAAAAATGAAAAACACTGTTGGAAAACTTAGGGGGAAATGTGTTTCATCTTTTATTTCCAAGGAAAATCTGTATATTATAAAAGCAAACATTTGTCACACCACCAAGTACAGAGCTCACATTGCAAACAACCATTTTCATTACATGTCTGATGATATAAAAATCAAATAACTGAAAGGCTTCAGTTTCCACTGTTTCATGAAAATCATATTATCACATTGCACCAACACACTATTCTTTTAAAGGATCAAGTAGAAATTAGACCCAATAATTAACCAAAAGTACCTCAGATCCTATTGCTTGTTTTATGGGATCATAAGCACTATACTAAGACTTAGCACTTGGACATGAAACATGTCTTAACTTTCTGAAGAATATACTAGAAATAAGAAACATTTAGAATGCTTTAATATTTCCAGTTAACACCATTTGTATCAGTAACTGCAATGTTGTAACTTTCAGCATCTCACATAACTAGTCGTCAATGTAGCTGGTTATTTTTAAGGGTTGGGAGTAAGAACAGAAGAACAGGAGATATAAGAATATCAGGTTTCACACTTCTGTTAAAATTTTAAAAATTAAAACTGTTTTCTTCTCTGCATCAAAACTATGAGACTTGAAGTATGTTTGTTTGCTTTAATCCCATGACTCATCATCGACTGGATTGGGAGCTTGTGAAGAAGAGATTCCCGCTGTATTCAAAGTGTTCTTGCCCTGGAAATTCTTTTTTAAAAAGAAAAGAAAGAAAGAAAAATGAAAGACACAAGTTATGACTCCCTAATGTTACATTACGTTGTCTGGACTGATAGCAGAGACTCACTCTTTCTATCCTGACTATCCCAAGCATGCAATGACTTTCTTGTAAAATGATTCTCTTGAAGAAAGGCCCACACAGACCTGTAAAGCCTAACTGCACACAATTAACTCAAGAAAATGATTTTTTCAAGCCACTAAGTTTTAGAGAGGAGAAAAATTTAACATTAAACTTCAAGAAAGCATAAATGTTTATTACAAACACTCTACTAATCGGGGCAGTGTTGGCACACTCAGGAGGCAGAGGCAGGGGGAACTCTGTTCTCTGTGAGTTCAAGGCCAGCCTTGTCTACAGAGCAAGTTCCAGGACAGCCAGGGCTACACAAAGAAACACTGTCTTGAACAAACAAACAAAAACACTCCTCTATACAAAGATTTACTGCAGAGGAAAAAAAAAAACCTGGAATGTCATTAAGACTTGTAGCTCCATAGCTCTAGCATTTTGTCTTGATAATATGGTCAAAATGAAAGAATTATCTAGAAAGTTCAGAAGATCCCAACAAATACCAGTAAAAAGGAACTAGGGTGTTCAACTATAAACTTCACACACACATATACATACATACATACATACACACACACAGACACTTGTGTTGGTGATACTATGTATTTATATATATATATATATATATATATATATATTTATATATATATATAACAGATAACTAAAATGATAGCTTTAAATTAATTACTGAATAGTAAGTATTACCTCATGAATCAAGCACATTTTCAAAGAGTAATTAGAAATACATTTCTTAATGTTTCTCAACTAACCTTCCTAGTGTCAACAGATGCAAACACAGTTCCTCTTGTGCTATTATTGAAGCCAGGAGGTACATATGTGCTAAAGGCAATTTCTTCTAGCCATGCAGGAACATCCTGTTGAGCCTTGAGAAAATAAAAACTTCTTATGCAACATGAAATCTCAAAAATTGTAAAAGATGTCGCAACAACAATGAACTATTCTATTTTAAATATTTAAAGTTAAAAAATTTTTTAACTTACATCTGATAGTACTTTAACTAGAGGTTGTGCTAAATGATTATCAGATTCAGTATCAAAAAAAGAAATTGCTCTGCCAGTATTTCCACAACGCCCAGTACGCCCAATACGATGAACATATTCATCAATGGTAGAAGGAAGATCAAAATTGATAACATGTTGAACATTTTCAATATCAAGCCCTCTGGCAGCTACTGAAGTAGCAACAAGAACTGGGCACTTTCCACAGCGAAAATCTCCAAGAGCTTGCTCTCTCTCCCTCTGTTCTCGATCACTTAAAAAAAAAAAAGTTTGTATTAGAGCCACTTTTGAGGAAGTTATTAAAATTCATCAAGCAGTATATTTCAAAAAGTAAAAAATGGCAGCAAGTAGTATTAATGCCTACCATGTGAGAACATGTACTATAGTGACCCATCCTCAGTCACCACTCTATCCTCACAGTCTTTAGTTAGAAATACATTTCTATTAGCAGATGGAATACAAGACAGCTAACAGGACCAGAATATAAATCCCAGTAATAGATTAATTTCTCATCTAAGCAAAGAATTTATCTCTACTTGATTAGAATTATTGCTCAAAAAAGTTCTTAAAGTATAATTCCAGAATTCTACATATTCAAAAATTATTTTAGCTCTTCTAATAAACTACCAATAAAGTGTTATTAATGTGCCTTTTTTAGCATTCCAACTTCAAAAGAAAAGTCAGGCATCAAAAAGATTAGATTCAGCATAAGAAACATTTAAATCTAAGAGCCAGAGACCTTAAGGGCCACTCTTGGCAAGTTCCCATTCATGAAGTTTAAGGCAGACTTTCAGCTTGCCTGTCCCTACTTTGTTCCTATAAAAACAAAGAATGAAGGAATAGGGAATCAGCCAGGAAATATGCTTGTCTCCAAGCCTAACAAATTGAATTCTATCTCTGAAACTCATAGAAAGAGAACCAATTCCAAAAAGTTGTCCTCTGACCTCCACATGTACACAGTACTGGCACACACACACACACAAGAACAAATACTAAAATAATACATTTTAAAAAAAGAATGATAATAATGTAATCACCCATGAATACTTGTAGTTGATATTTTTTCTTGACACAGAAAAGTTGCAATGAAATCTGCTTTTTTCTTGGTTTCAACAAAAACCATAGTTCTTTCATCACCTACAAAACAACAAAATGTTAATATCTAAACTACAAAATGAAGCAAAAGAGAAGGCATGTTAGAGCAAGAAACTTGTCTCATCCACAACTGTCCTGCTAGTTGCTGGTATGGAAAGAGTGAGTGTTTCTTCAATGAATGGATGTCAAGAAAAGAGACTGTTTTCCTGTTAAGAGGGATTAAAAAAAAAAAAAGAAAGAAAAGAAAAAAGGTAAGTGTGCCTTCTTTCCTTAAGCAAATGTAAATAATTCCCTGCCACCTCCTAATAATTTCAAATTTGTCTCAATCTCTTTTGTCTCTCCATTTCCTACCCTATAAATGCCTGTTACTTCCAAAAATAATTTAACCTTTCATTCTGCCCACATGAGTGAAGGCATTTACACTAATGACATCTGACCCTGGGCTGCTAACATCTCTTAATTCAAACCCTTTCTCACTCCCAGAATATGATACAAAGTTAAATGCTGGTTTTATCCCAAGGCTTAACTCATTAGGCAGTATTTCCTTGTAAAATTAAAGTGCATAACTGGCATAGATTATTCTAACAGGAGATACCTCTATAAAATGCTGACAAAGAAAGATGGTAAGATTATCTATAGCCTTAATAGAAGAATTTTTGCTGCTCGTGATTACTCTTACCTACCTCCCTTGTCAGCTCACTTCATCTATGACAAATATTTAGTGGCTGCCTGTCACTATTCTAGATAATGAAAATAAAAAATAAAGCCCCTGGTCTCATTTTGTGGAAGCATGTAATACATATCAAGTTCCAAAACCAACAGCAAAAATAGTAAGATCTAGAGTCTACTTCTGTTTTCATCACTATTCTATTGCTATGAAGAGACACCATGACCAAGGCAACACTTATAAAAGATTTAATTCAGGGCTTGCTTACAAGTTTCTGAGGGTTACTCGATTATAATGGTAGGGGTATGGCCGCACTCAGTGTTGGAGCAGTAACTGAGAGTTACATCATGATTGGCAGGCAGAGAGAGACTGGGCCTGGTATTGGCTTTTGAAACCTCAAACCCCAGGCCCCAGTAACACACTTATTTCAACAAACCCCTATCTCCTACTTCTCAAATAGTGCCAGTCCCTGGTGACTAATAGTTCAAATGTATGAATCTCTGGAGTCCAATCTTATTCAAACCACCACAGTTTTAAATAGAACACATGGTATCTGAGCAAGGAAAGTACTACTAATAGTGAACTATGCAGACTCTTGGAAAAAGAATATTATAAAACAGAGGGAAAAGTAAGTATAAAGGCTCTTAAATACTGTTGTTCTCTTGGTACAAACAACAAAACAATAACAAAATCAAAGAGAGGGGCTGGAGAGAGGGCTGGTTCAGTGGGTAAAAGCACATGTTGGTCTGTTCCCAGCACCCACATGGTAGATTACAATCATCCCTAACTCCAGTTCCAGGGGATCAAATGCCCTCTTCTGACCTCAACAAACATCAAGGCATATACAGTGCAGTACACATAAATATATGCAGGCAAAACACTCACAGACATAGTAACTAAATCTTAAGAAGAAAAATCAGGTAACTGGTCCCATTGAGCCCTGGACATTCTGAGCTGAGGTAACATCAAGTACAAAGGCAATGAGGCAGAACTATGCCTGGATATTTCAAATATAATAATGAGCAAAGCATGGCTGGAGGACAGCAAACAAGGGAAAAACAGATGTCAGAGAAGTAATGGAAGCCAGCAGGTTTTGAGCAGATATGTGCCGTGACCTGTAACTCAGTAGTTAAAGGAATATATGCATGCATACAGACACATTGGTGTTTGGTTAATACAGGACCTTCCTAGGTACCCCAGGCTAACCTCAACCCCTTAATCCTCCTGTCTCAGCCACCTGAGTATTGAGATTACAAGCATACACCACTACACCCAGATATGTACAATGGTAGAACAAGAGGATTCTGCTGTAATTGGGGAAAGAAATGAGAAAGAACTTTTGTGTCTAAGCAACTTGGAGAATAAAATTACCATTAACTGATAAAAACAAGACTGTAATTTAAAAATGTTTAAGGGGTTGGGAAGATGATTCAGTTGGTAACGTGCCAGCCATGCAAGCATGACATAAGGCGAGTTCAGATTCCCAGCATCCATGTAAAACACTAGGCACAATAGTGCATACCCATAACCCCAGCACAGGGAAGATGAAGATAGTGGGATGATCACTTCAGTTCCTGGCCAGCCAGTCTAGCCAAAGTGGTAGGCTCCAGGTTAAGTGAGGCCATCTCAAAAAATAATGTGGAGTGAGCAAGGGCACTTTGCCAAAAGAACCATGTACTCAGATCACTAAAATGTATATTTCTATGTTAACTCTTAACCTGTAGCTAAAGTAGCAAAATTGAAGATAGGAGTTCTGTGTGCATTTATCATAGCAGCATTATTTATAATAGCCAGAAACTGGAAGCAGCCTAGATGCCCCTCAACCGAAGAATGGATAGAGAAATTGTAGTACATTTACACAATGGAGTACTACTCAGCAGAAAAAAACAATGGAATCTTGAAATTTGCAGGAAAATGGATGGAACTCGAAGAAACCATTCTGAGTGAGGTAACCCAATCACAAAAAGACAAACATGATATGTACTCACTCATATGTGGACCTGCTTTATGATATATAGTAGTGACCATGCTTTATCAGAGCTGTTTTTAATGATGTTGCTCAGAACGGTTTCCTCCCAGATGATGACTGAGAAGCTAATTAAAAAAAAAAAAATGGTGCCAAGTACAAGAGTAACAGAACTGTGCTGTTTTCTGGGATTTTGTTTTTTTACTTTTTTGTTGTTGTTGTTGTTTGGTTTGTTTTTTTTTTTAAATGGAGTGTGCTGGATGTCTCTACAATTTTGTTCAAATGACTGCAGAACCTGGAAAAGCTGTTGCTGCTATTGATGCATAACATATTGCCATTATTGCTCTTTTTATATAAATATATACATACATATATATATATATATATGCTAAAAAAATAAAAATAAAAAAATATTTAAAAAATACATAACACACACACACACACACACACACACACACACACACACACACACACATACACACAC